CCCCATAGAGTTCCATGAATTAAAGTTGTAGCGGCTCAAGAGCGCCTGCTGGTTTGCCACTCTGAGTTGCAGCCCTCCCGCTGAATACACCTTACGCCCGAACAAATCGAAGCGCTTACCGTCCTTCGATTTGGGCGCTGCAGCCTGCTGGCCATGATGCTCTCTTGCGTTCACCGATGACACCACTAGTGAACACAGTGGGGGATGAGTATATAAGTACTCGTAGTCCTTGGAAGGGATGAAGTACTTCCTTTCCACCCCTCTAGCTGTGGGTGGAATAGAGGCAGGAGTTTGCCATATTGTAGTGGCATTAGCCTGAATCGTCCGAATCAGAGGTAATGCCACCCTGGATGGGGCATCAACCGAGAGGATGCTCACCACCGGGTCCTGCACCTCTACTATCTCCTCTGCCTGGAGATCCATATTACGCGCCACCCTACGTAATAGGTCCTGGTGGGCACAAAGATCTATCGGGGGTGGGCCCGAGGCTGTTGTGCCCGCCACCGCCTCATCTAGGGAAGATGAGGATGCCTCAGGTGGCAAGGGGTCTACTGGAGGGTCCTGCTCTAAAGGTCCCTGAAGCGGAGCATCGCCTGCCCCTGGGTCCAGGGCCTCAGGTGGTGTAGGCGCACAGGAGCCTCCATGCCCCCTGGGGGAGGACGGGAGATGGTGGCCTCCGGGACCCTGAGCTCAGAGCATGCTGAGCGAAAGGCTGATGGTGGAGCCCCCTGTGCCTGGTGATACGCCCACGGGGTCCAGAACGACCAGTGCGTAGGTCCCTGCGCAGGATCCTCCGCCCCCTCCTGCCAGTGGCCCAAGTCAGCCGCAGCAGCCTGACCCTGAGGAGGGTATGCCGATCTCGAGGCCCCGTCGGAGGAGCGAGACGCTGATCTCGAGGGCCAAGGCGTTGCCGAACGCGTCGGAATCGGCTCAGGACGATACGGAGCCGATCGGCGCCAGTCCGCAGGTGATCGGTCCCTGCGCGGTGCCGGTGAGCGGTACCGGGATCGGTGCCGGTGGCCATGTCAGTGCCGAGATCCGGATCTGGACCTAGACGACGACGACCGCAAGTAGACATGGTACTGGGAGCGGCCCCTCAAGCTGGAGCGGTGCTCGTACCGGTGCCGAGAACGACGTCTTGAGTCCGATCGGTACCGATGATCGTGACGATGCCGAGACGTAGACCGGTGCCGTGAAGATGATCTTGGCCACGAGTACGACCGGTGCCGAGGCGATAGTTGGCGCCGGGACTGCGAGCGGCGTCGGGACCTGCTCTGAGACCTGGAGCGGTGCCGTGAGTCCACGTCCTGAGATGGCGGGCGTACCAGGGAAGGCTTGCCCCTGGATTGCACCGCGCGAGGAGCCGACTGTGCCGGTGGTTGGGACGGCGCCAGCTCCGTGAGAGCAATAAGGTCTCTCGCCGTCGCGAAGGTCTCTGGAGTGGACGGAAGACAAGGCTCCACCGCCGACCGAGGTGGTGATCCAGTCCGCACCGGACTCAATGGCCACGGTGCCAAAGTCGACGGTGTAGCAGGCACTTGCTTCTGGCGCTCTAAAGACGGACGCAGCTCTACCCCCGGCACCGGGGGAGCCGGCGTCTGCAGGACAGCAGACTACTGCGCCTTGTGGGATTTCTTATATCCCAGAGACAGGGAATGGCGCTGAGGGCCCTGTGGCGGGCGCGGTGCCGAAGGAGGCCGGTGCCGTGAGGCCTTGTCCGATTCTGCCCGCAGTGCAGTACCGGTCAGTGCCGCAGGGGCGCTGCGCACCGAGGCGCTCGGTGCCGGGGCTGGGCGCGCCGAGGGAGGATCCGGGCTAAGTGCCGCCTCCATGAGGAGCTGCCTAAGCCTAAAGTCCCGCTCCTTTTTGGTTCTCGGTCTGAAGGCCTTACAGATCTTGCACTTATCTGTCTGATGGGACTCTCCTAGACACTTCAGACACGAGTCGTGCGGATCATTCGTAGGCATAGGCTTAGTGCAGGACGCGCACGGCTTAAAGCCAGGAGCCTTGGGCATGAGCCCGGCTATGCGCCGGGGGGGAAAAGGGGGGAGAACAACCCCCTTAACTCCCGCTAACTATTTACAACTACTAAAAACGAAGATGAATAACTAACTAAAACTATACAACAACTATGACTACAACTATCTACAGAATTAACAGGATAAGCTAGGGAGAGTGGAGAACAGCTATGCCGCGCTCCACAGTTCCAACAACCGTCAGGGGCGGTAAGAAGGAACTGAGGGGGCGCTGGGTCGGCTGGGGTATATATCCAGCGCCATGAAGGCACCACTCCAGGGGGCTCCACAGCCGACCCACCGGGTGTTGCTAGGGTAGAAAATTTCTCCGACGATCGTGCACGCGATGCACACACACCTAATTGGAATCGATATGAGCAAGCACTCAAAGAAGAAACCCCACATCTCAATACCCTCAAATGTTTCCTAGATTGCAAAGTCTGCAGGAACCCATGACATTGACCGATGTTGAGACATTTGTTGAAACCTAAGGAAATTCCTAGGCAAAAACTTCATTAACCTGGTGTTAAAGTTGAGATAACTATCATGTATATCCACCAGAAAGTTCTTAAATGACGTGTAGCTGTTGTCTTTAAGTTGCAGCTGTTATATATTTTAATCTTACAAAGCCTGAGGATTTCAAGTTAAAGGTAACCTATAAAAGAAAAAGAAAAGGTTTATGCTCTTTTGGTTTTGTTATAATGGATGACGGTGGTCTGACAGTGTGGTTTCGTTTATTTTTTAATCTTTTATTATTCTTTCATATTGGAAATCTAGGTGTTGTCTCCTCCGCTTTTCCTACAATACATTACAAGTGATTGAGAACTTTAACGCTACAGGTATCAAGTATATGAAACCTGATTCAGAGGGGATGTGATCTTTATAAACATTGTTTAAAACTTTGTTTTGTTAATACACACATCAAATACTTGAGAAACTGTTAAAGATCAGACTCCCCCATTCCTTCAAACAAGAGCGAAGATCTCTCACAACCCACATCTCAGAGAACTTCAATGAGGCTTCCAGCATAATCAGAAGACTTCAAACATGATATTCCTGACATTTCTAAGGTTTAAAGACAAACAATATCCTATATCCTTCCTACCTTTCAGGTAGGATACTTCCCTATATCCTCCTACCTTTCAGGCCTTCTTTAATATATCAACAAGTTGCAAAAGAGGGTGACAAAGCATTTTTTCATCTTATTCAAATGATCTTTAATGTTTCCACTTACTCCCCAAGAACAACTAAGGTATACTATAGGGAAAAGTTTGTTTGATCTAACTATGCATTTGCATACTTTCAAATGTGTGGTGTGAAGTGGCACCTAGACTTGGAGTTTTTAAAGTAATCTTTGTTTTGTGAGTTTAAAGGATTATGGCAGGAATGAGTGAAAGAGTCCTTCAGTCTTTAGAAAAAACATGCTTTCTGCCTGGATACACATTTGTAGAAAAATTAAAAGATCATATTTTTCATAAAAGTAGGTTTAAACATTTAGAAAAATGAAAAATCTAATTGGAATTATGAATGAAAAGAATTCAACCTGCCCACTCAGCGGTCTTAAATTTAATGAAAAAACTGAAGGCTTCTGCTAACACTCTCCAACCTCAAGACAAAATAAATGAACAACTTCTGTGGGCTACAGTTATCTGCAGAACTCACTCAGCATAGTAAACAATGAGTGGCCACAATAGTAAAATAATCACTTCCAAAGTTTTCTTTCCCCAAAGTTTATGAATTAGAAAGACCTTGACACTTTAAAAAAAAAACAACCTTAATTTACCAGAATCTCAGGTCATTCTCACTATGTAATAAAATACTTAGATGCTGGCAAAACATTAATAGAAACAATTTGTACATAGAAATGGATCAAACCAATGAGGTTTTTACAAATAAACTAATTGGGTTGTTGGTTTACCTTGGATTCATATCTCAAAGCTTCTTGGCTACACATTTGTTTAATAATTACCTTCTATAACCTCTGTACTTAAGATTCTTCCTCTTCTGATATTCAGCCTTCAGACATGGACATTCCCTGCTGATTAAATCTTAAATCTAACTGGAGCGCTGAAGAAACACATTACACAAAGAGCTCTGTGGCCAGATTTATGACAAACAAATATAAAGAAATAAGGTAAGTAAACATTGCTAACAATGTTTTAGACTAATATTCTCAATAAAGTTCTCTCTCAGGTAGGGAGTAAGGCACAGAATTGTAATAAAATCTGATGGCCCAAGTCCTGCAATCCTTATGCAGGCAACATTTTCATTGAAGCCTGACTATTTCATTCGGTCAATTACACTTATTTGGAGCTTTTTTTAACTAGACCATCAAGTTAGCAGACAAAGTGTTTCTTAACAGACATTGCTGCTATAGGTAATCACATGCAGAGGCATTATTTTGATTTCTAATACCTTCTCATGAAAAACTTTTTTGGATCATTGAGCTGAAGTAGTTACTACTGGCACAGTCTTTTGAACATTTAAATAGGGTGACCAGACAGCAAGTGTAAAAAAAATTAGGACGGGGGGGGGGGGAGGGAGGGGGAGCTTGTAATAGGTGCCTATATAAGACAAAGCCCCAAATATCAGGACTGTCCCTATAAAATCGGGACATCTGGTCACCCTACCAGAGGGACAAAGGGTTCCCGCCTTATGC